AGTATGACACACATACAATAGTGAACCAACAATGCTACGAAACTCATGTACATCAACTAAAGAGTTGCCTTCATCATTAGACTGCTTAGTAGACACAACCATAGGAGAAGTAATTGGTGTGACTTGAGCCATTTTTGTTTTTTCTAGCAAATACAACATAAAATTCTTCTGACTCAACATAAGAGAGTCTGCACACTGTTTAACCTCGATGCCAAAAAAATACGACAAGTCACCAAGATCCTTAAGAGAGAACTACTTGTTGAGTTCACAAATGACATACTCAATATGACTCAAAGACTCTCCTGTTAAGATGATATCATCAACATACACGAGAATAAATGTACGAACTCCAGCCTGAGTAGCAACAAAAAGAGAGCAATCTGCTTTGGATTCTCAAAACCGTAACGCAAGTAAACTGTCACGAAGCCTAGTATGCCAATTGCTTGGCGCTTAGGTCATAAAAAGCTTTGTGAAGCTTACAAACTAGTTGAGTACTATCAGAGGTAGATACTTCAAACTCGGGTGTCACATAACCTGCTATTGAGAAATGAGTTATTCACATCAACTATCGAAGTGCCCATTTCTTCGAGAAAGCCAAGGACAACACAACATTGACTATGGAAAACCAAACCACAAGACTATAAGTTTCTTGAAAATCTTTACCGAGAACCTGAGAATAGCCCTTAGCAACCAGGCAAGCTTTATACCTCTACACAATGTCATCTGCATTTTTCTTAAGCTTGAAAAGCCACTTACACCCTACATCATTCCTTCCCTCTTGAAGTTTAACCAAAGTCCAGATGCCATTCTTCTGGAGAGCAACAAGCTCATCATGAACAACTACAGTCCACTTATTAGACCAAAAAGCCTCATAAACAGTATCAGGTACCAAGTCATCCATACTACTAAGAAATACTTTAGGCTTGAAAATGCCAGCCTTACTGCAAGTGCACAAAGGGTGAATATTTACCACAACATATGACTTTGAAGTGGAGGGTGAAGTAGCACTCGGCTGTTCAAGCACCCGAGACTCATTGCAAGACCCCATATTAGATGCAGAACCAATATGTACATGTACATATACTTGAGAAGGAACAACAAATGTGTCTTCATCAGATGGTAAAACTGAATCAGAAGGAACAACAGAAATAGCAGGAGGACTAGCATTAGCAGGTGAGAACACATGAGAAGCATGAACACGTGAGGAAGCCCTAGGCACACGTAAACAATGTGAATGCATGACCACATCTAACGCAGGAAACTTCTGGCCAGGTGTAGAACTTGAGGACTGTGAAGATGAAGCTGCAAAATGAAAGAACATTCATCAAACTTCACATGACGAGAGATATAGACACGTCCATCAGGAGCAAGAAACTAAAATCCTTTAGAATGTGAACACATAAAAAACTCTTGCTGTCTCTGTCCGTCTCTCCAAGTTACTTATTTTCTGATTTTAGTTAATTTATTTTTCTTTTCCGCGCGAGAGAAGAAGAGAGAATCAATCCGCCGATACTACACTGTAAATATTACTTATCATAATTTCTTCCCCAGAAACTTTGAACATAACGTCGAAAAATTAAGGAAAAAAAGCCAAGAACGAAGAGGAATTGTCCAATCGCACATGGCATCTTGAGCCACTCTCCACATTTTTGTTTTCTTTTCAATCACATCCTCTCCTTTCTTTCTCTTAGAAACACTACTCTCGTTTTTCTCTATCATCTCAACTCTTAGCTGCTTATATATATATATATTCCATTAACATTGAAGGTTTATTGACTCAATTGTTGATGAGAAAGATATTCCTCAGATCTACAGTGAAAAAGGTTTTTTAGTTTTGGCTTTTGTTGTCAACCCAAAACTCTGTTCTTTGTATGAATGATTGTATTCAATCTCAGATCTACAGTGGAAGGGGATTTATAAGTTTTGTCTGTTTTTGTCAACTTTTTGCTTCTTCAGCTCCTGAGGATTCTGTTCCTTGCAGTAATGGTATTCGTGATTCAATCTTAAAGGTTAGCTTACTATTGTGTTCGTTTCGGCTTGTTTAATCTCACTTTATTGATCGATTTCATTTCATTCAAACACATCTTAGTATTCTCTTAGCTTCATTCTCTTGAATTCAGACGTGAACACGACTTTAGAATGTGATACAATTTTGTTAATGTCAATTAAAGTCTTTAGTTTCTAGTCAAATTTAGCTCAGCTCAGATGACTTTGATTCCTTTTCTCTTCCCCGAAAATTGGAGCAATTTTCTTTTCATCTTTCAAATTTATTTAGGGTTATTATTTGATGTATATATAATTTATTTATCTATTTATAAAATTTAAAATTCTGATTCATGATTAATAAAAGTCTTTAAAAATTAAATAAAAGTTTATACGTCATATGTTTATTTATTTTTCAAAAGTGTATATACACCCAAACCTCTATGTTTTTCTACTTGATTACTCTGTTTTGAAAACCAGACCGGCCGGTTCAACCGGGAACCGTTGCTTAGTCCGGTTCAATCTAAACCGGTTGAACCGTTATTAGTGAACCGGTCAGAATCGCTGAATCGTTCGAACCAGACCAGCTGAAAACCGGAAAAAACTAGAAAAAACAGGGATTTTTGTTTTTAAAAAAAAATTAAACCAAACAACGTCGTTTGTTAAACGAGCCAAGTCGAACTCGAGTATTGCTGAGCTCAACTCGAACTTGAAAACTTTAAAAGTAAGCTCAACTCAACTCAAACTCACAAGCTAAAAATTATCAAGTTCAACTCAAACTCGAAATATAATATTGAAACTTGAACTCAAAAAGGCTTGAACTCAAAAAAAAATTAGAAGCTCGATTGAAGTCTAAAATTCGAGCTTATTTGAAGTGAAAAAATAGTTATATAATTATAGTTATATAATTTTGTTATGATTTTTTTAACCCCAAATTTATTTTTTAATTATAGTTATATAATTATATGTATTATTTAATATGTTTTACCTTAAATATTATGTTGTAGTTAATTTGAATCATTTTGTTTCACTTGATTTTATGGTTTTTAAGTTATATATGTTATGACTTGCTTTGAATATGACTTGTGATATAAAAAATTATTTTTTATTAAATACTTTTAGTATTTTTATTTAATTTTTTAAATAATTATGACGTCGTCCGGTTCTTCCGACCGGTCGAACCGGTTGAACCAGTGAATCGGTAACATAACCAGTTCGCTAACCGGTCCGGTTCTGAAAACCATGTTGATTATTTAAAGACGTTGACGCCTATTTTAGATTCTCATCAATAATACATATGGTTAAGAGCTCTCACCTATTCTCTGTTTGGAATTCTAATAATAAAATATTATATTTTTTTATTAATTAAAATATTTCACTCTAACACTTCGACAGTTTTATTGTAATATTTTTATTACAGTTTAGTGATTCGATTTTTTTTTTAGTTTTACCTGAAAATTTTATTATATATAACTTCCTAAATCCAATCTAGATGATAGGATCGAATTTCGGAGATACACTATAAGTTCACAAAAACAAGATTTTATGAGTTCGTTGACAAATAAAATACTTTAAAACAATTTTTTATATAACATGCAGTGATAGAAAATTTGTATATTTCAATGATAAAACCAAATTTATATAAAAGAATGCATGACAAAACCAAGTTCGAAATCCATAATAACAAAATAATCCATTATACGAAATACACCAAAAATAAACAAGTCTGATAGAAATATGCATAGAAGTTTAAAGTCCGAAAATGTTCATACGATATCTAAGAAATGTGCTATCAATCGATCCTGATCCAAGTACCAGTCAAAAACCTTATAGACCAAAAGGATTTGAAAATACAAAAATTAAAAGAGTAAGCTTTAAAGCTCAGTGTGTCCTCTGAATACAACATTATTTAATACTTTTAAGTAACATAACTCTTTTAAGTACAATCTTAAATGTAAATCCGGTCTTAATTGAAATTTAAAGTATTGACATCCAACTTCGAATTTTGTATATGTATTCAAGTTAAATCTCTCGTGGGAGTCTATTCAATATTTTTTTATATAGTTAAACCCTAAATATACATTATCCTGGTATCGAAATAGAGCTTTCAAAACAGTGGGATAGTTGTTGATCACAGAAATCAAAGAGGAGCATGCTTTTACTCTGCATTTAAAGAGTTCCATCGTACCTAGACAACAATGATTGCTCCACTTAATACTTCAAATCAAGAGCTTCATGGATATTACCTACAATACTAATCAGTGAAGTTGTTCAGAACAAATTAGATGCTCCCTTAAAATAGCCTTTGGTCCTATTTCTCTGATGTTTTAAGCTCTAAAGAAGGCCCAATTCCTACTTACATATTCCTTTTGCTTAATTCAGCAATAAGCCCTCCAACTATATTCTTTTTACATAAATACTATGATTTATCTTTTTTCATCAAATCATGTATTCCGATTCTGCCCATTATCTCCCTTTAAAAGAATGACACAAACGACTTTTATATATTTTATTTTTTTCCAACTCATTCTTCTCATCATTATTTGTTGACTAATCTTATTCAGCTAAATTCATATTCTTTAAAATTCTTTTAACTAATCCATTTTTCACGCTTCGACGTAAATCTAATCATTCGATGATTGTGAAATCAAATTGTGTTATTTACGTTTATTTATTAATTGAAACTCCTTTTTTTAATAATAAAAAAATAATTAATTGAATGTCAATGAGATATAATGTATCAACGTCTAATTGGTTGCATGCAGAGGCGGAACGTGGGCATTAACGATTAAACTGAAAATTTCAAAGCGAGTAATTAAAGTATAATGGTTTAACCCAAGTAAAATACAGGGACTATTTATAGAGTTCTACCTTTGATTTTTGACTAGGCAAATCCAACAAGTGCAAAATACCAAGCCTTTGATATTTTTTGTTGGTCCAAACAAGACCATGGATTGTGGGCCTTTCCCGCGTCCATCGTTATAGTTACCAAACAGCTCATTGCTCGTAGTTTTTATCTTCCCCTTTTCCTCTTTGGAAACGAGGCAACTTTGGTTGGTTTTTCGGCGCCACAAGAAAAATCCTCCCCGGACCAGAATTTCTACTTCTTTTTCCTATAAAAAGCCAATATATTCCCCAAAACAAGGTAAACATACGGGAAATGGAAAGTTGTGCGAGTTGTTGCAGGCCGGTGATCATGGGCAAATCAATTGGTAAGAAAGATTTGAGCTTTGTGTCAACAAATAGAGTGTCGTTCGGTGCTGGGGTTGTACCCCAAGGTACCACTTCAAGGATCAAGGGTTCGAGGATTCTAGGCATCAGAGCTTCTGCTGTTGATTCCCATGAGAGCTCTTCCGATTTCGTTAACCGTATGGAAAAAGCTTGGGTCATCTCTAAGGTAGATTCTATTTTTAACGCAATAATCTGTGGCCTGGAATTCCGAATCTAAAACAGGACTCCAATTGTGTACATTCTAACGCATTTCTGAAACCAAAAAAGTGTTAAATTTGTTTGGGTTTTTGTGTATTTTCTTAAATTTGTATAAATTTGACGAGCAAGATATTGGGGGGTTGGTATTGGACGCATCTTAGATTTCTAAGTTCTGGAGAAATCGGTATATTTTTCTCTAATTGTGTGCATGTTTAATTACTTGTATGCTAATATCTTGGAACATTTTTCCTAGACTTAAGTTGCTTAGATTCACACTATTAAAATGCATCTTACATGATGTGTTTGAGAAGAAGGAAAAAGAAAGGATTGCTGTTCATGCTTAAGTGACTGCTTTTCTTTCACGTGTGGCTCTTTTAGCAACCTGTTGAGAGGCTAGGCAATTTCTTACCATTTTTGGGCACTGATATTTTCATGCTTGTTACAGCAACCAAGGCCAATTGCTTGTTCTTCGTGCAAGTCCATGGGGCACGTTGAATGCAAGTGGTGTGGGGGTACCGGCTTCTTTATCCTCGGGGATAACATGCTCTGTCAAGTTCCTTCTAGAAACACCAGTTGTGTGATTTGTGCCGGAAAGGTATATCTCAAAACCATAGTCATCTCTGTATTTGCTTGCCCTCGCTATTCTAATACTGTCAACTGCTTACTTACTGAAGCGATCTTTCCTTTTACGTATACTTTAGGGATCAACATGCTGCTCCGGCTGCAAAGGAACTGGATATCGTGCAAAGTGGATGGGTGAACCTCCTATTTCCAAATAGTTGAGAGTTTCTGCATGTTTTAGACTGCAAAACAGCCAGTAAATTTGTTTTATATGTCCATATGAATAGCGTGGCACACCACGCTATGTATGTCTTGGTTTTCTGTTCATGTCATTGTACAATCTTGTAAAAGAGAAAAGAAACAACTGTTGTTTACATATTGACTGAAATTGTCAAAATGTAGAAAAATCATTGTTTATGTAGACTAAAATTTACTGTTAATATGTATTCTTTACAGTAATTATAGGCATAGCTCAAAATTTGACTTCCTTGCAGGCATATAGTGCATTTTGCAAGAAGTGGGAACTGCACTCATGCTTAGCTTTGCATAAACAAACCGGAACGCAATCTAATCTTAAAAATGTACGAGAGTATGCTGCTCATCACGTTGGTTAGAAAAGTGTTTCTTTGGATGTATATGTAACTCGCTTATTTGTTTAACGGTCTAAGTGAAAACTATTCCTGTTAAAATCAATCCGTCCAAATCAAAGGATTCATTTAAAATTTGAGGGGGCTAAGACATAAACATTAGGCCCAGAAATAGACTTGGACAAAAGAATATGTTTCATTAGAAATATAAATTCAGCTCATGTTCTAACATTCAAAATCTAATTCACATTTTTATTTTATTTTAATATGTATATCATATAAAATTAAATTTATAATAATATATAATATGCTCACTTAAACTCAATCCGGTCCGACTCACAGAACTCTAAACAAAGCTCTCCCATTGTTGAAACGTATTTTTTAGATCCAACATGGAACTCTTGGAAGCAAGCGTGCTGCTCAAAAAACTCAAACCATCTTATTGGTTTTCAGCTCACTTGCACTGCAAATTCACAGCATGAAGAGGGTGGTCAATCAAGTGACAATTTCTTGCGCTTGATAAATGCCTTCCGGGGCGCAAGTTCTTGCAGGTATCTTTTATAAGTTTTGACTGTTTCCTGTACTTTCTTTTGGTCTTTGCTGGAAGCTAATATATGAATTTTGGCTTCTCTGATCTTTTATATCGTTGATATTGAATCTGGTCCAGGATCTTTTGAGGTTTATTATGATGAAGAATGACTGGCAATGAAATTAAAATTCAACTGCGTCTTCCCTTTGACCACCCGACGTAGAGGCTTTAGGTGTATATGTGACATCTCAATATTACTTACTATCACGGAATCCTATCGTTCTTGGAATTGCTAGATCTTCCTTATGTATCGGGATCCAGGGATAGTCCTGCTTCTTCATCATTGGCTTGAAGGGGGTAAGAATTTCCTATTTCACTTGTTCTACTTGGTTTCGGTACATTGACTCTTTATTTGATATTTGGTAGCTTCTGTTAACCTTCATTGTAATGCAGTTCCAACATAGAATGAACATGATTGTAGAATTAACCTCATGTTTAATATGGCGCTGATGCTCTCGTATTCAAGAGTATGAATATTCTTGTTCACAGCTTAATGGAAAACAGTAGGATAATTGATCATTTGCTTCCGAACAAGGTTGATTTCCCTAATATTTTGAGCATCTTTGTGTGTGCTTTTGTTCATCAATGATTAACGGAAATCCAACTTATTGGTTGGTGTTGCTATTCTATGAGGCCTTGCAGATTTGTGAAGTTGGAATGTCCCTCACTTTTCCAGCTTTGATCACCAAAGGAAACTATTGATGCAAAACTTACACTTTTCGCTCTGTAATGACCAGTTTATCAATGACTCAACTTTTGATAAATTAATGAAGTAGAGAGGTCAAATTAAACTTATTAAAATGGACGTTAAAAATGCATCATTTAAAATTTGATTGAGTTAATATTAGTATGGATAAATCATAATAACATGTGGCTGTATCTTGCTTTTTGTAGTTTTTCTTATATTCCGACATACAGGAACATCCGATAAACAAGTTTCATCAATTTTATTGAGTACAATAAACAAAATGGTAGCTTTACCTAGATCTAGATCTATGGTAAATTACATCATGTAAACTACCAAGTATGAGGGGCCAATTGGGACCTGCCACGATGGTTTCCCTTCAAAAACAAAACAGTGATGAAAATGTTATTAATAAATTAATCATCTACAGTTAGATATAGATATTTCTCCAATGGCGCCATTGATGTCGGCTTGTAAGATTATTAACTTGTTTGAAGGAGATAATAAAGGTCAGCTGAACAACTGTAACCCCATTTAGACTTCTTTGTTTTTCAGTTTCGAAGATCTAAAAGAACCCCCTTTTTGGAAACTCTGATTTTTAAACTCCGTTTCCTATCTTTTTCATCTCATCAAAACTTCCAAGTTTCACAAGATTATCTACAATAGTCTGGGTTGACCCGAAGCTCCATCTTTTTTTTAATCTTATCAAAAGCTCAAAACTTCACAAGATTCATGTCCAAGAAACTGAGTTGACCTGGATCAAGTCTGTTGCTTTTGGTTTACAGCTATGGTGGAGGAAGGAAATGTTGGAGCCGGTGAGAAGGCTGTGGAAGAAGATAATGGACCCAAAGGGTTGTTTTACTGTTTCTGGCGTCCAATTAATTGGCTTAGAATGCTTGCAACGGAAACACATTGGAGCTTTGTATTCGGAGTCGTATCTGTTTATGGGATAAGTCAGGGATTAGGTGGGGCACTTGCTCGAGTCGGCACTGAGTATTACATGAAGGATGTTCAAAAGGTACAGCCTTCTGAGTCGCAGGTTTATTCTGGGATTATTTCTATCCCTTGGATTGTGAAGCCTATTTGGGGACTTCTCACAGATGTTGTCTCCATTAGGGGTTATAGAAGACGCCCCTATTTCATTCTATCTGGTAAATTTACATCTTCTGCCTTTCTCTCTTTACATGTTTATCACAGTTTCCAATCCATAAATGAAATGTCATTCATATGTTTCCATTGGTAAACTTTAGGCAACCCAGATATTTGCTTTTGCAAAACTACAGCTTGTATAGATTTATCAACTTACATTATGTTATATCTTTGCCACAATGGAAGTAATTATGCTTTGATTTCTCTACTTGATTCTTGCTTGAAAAGAAGAACTAGGGCGTTTAGGAATCGATTTGTTTTGCCAATGGTGTTATAAGCTGCCAATAGTTCCCTTGTACGATACCATCTCAATATGCAAAATGATCCAGCCTCATATTTCAGGGTTGCTGGGTTTGGTCTCCATGCTTTTGATATCGTTGCACAGCAAACTGCATCTGGTGTTTGCCCTGTTAGCGTTGACAGCAGGAAGTGCTGGGGTAGCTATAGCAGATGTGACCGTCGATGCTGTGTAGCACAAAACAGCATTAGCCATCCTTCCCTTGCTGCCGACATGCAAAGCTTGTGTACTTTGATGTCTGCTATTGGAGCTCTGGTCGGATTTTCCATTAGTGGTGTTTTTGTTCACCTTATTGGTCCTAAGGTTTGTTGTTCTTTAACTCCATGGCTGGTTTCGCAAATTTCCTTTAAAATATGTTAATAGCTTCTTCATTTTCAGGGCGTGTTCGGATTGTTGACTATCCCTTCCGCCCTCGTGTTTTCGGTTGGGATTGTTCTTTCTGAGCCCCATGTTCCCAACTTTGCCTACAAAGAGGTATTCTTCAGCTCGTTTTCATTGAATCTTGTATGATGTACATGTAATAAACTATTTTCTTGACTCAGATAAGCCAGAAGTTCATTGAGGCTGGCAAGGCTATGTGGACGACATTGAAATGCCCCGAGGTTTGGAGGCCATGTTTATACATGTATTTATCCTTTGCACTAAGCTTGAATATAAACGAGGGATTGTTCTATTGGTACACCGACTCGAAAGGCGGCCCCTTGTTTTCTCAGGTATATGATTCTGCACTCGTATCCTTCATTGTCAAAGTCGCACAAGTGTGTATATTGATGCTTTCGGACTATGGTTCTTATAATGCAGGACAGTATCGGTTACATTTTCTCAATTGGTGCAGTTGGTGCCATCTTGGGGGCAGTACTCTATCAAAACAAGCTGAAGGATGAGCCTTTCAGAGATTTGCTTTTCTGGATTCAGCTATTCTATGGTTTAACCGGGATGCTAGATTTGATGCTGGTGCTGCGAATAAACTTGAAATTTGGGATACCGGATTATCTATTCGTCATGATAGGTGAAGCTGCAACTCAAATGATTTGGCGACTCAAATGGATGCCCCTTCTTGTACTGACTGCAAAGCTTTGTCCTTTAGGCATTGAAGGCACCTTCTTTGCCTTGCTGATGTCCATTGACAATGTTGGACTCCTCTCATCTTCATGGGGAGGTGGCTTGCTGCTTCACTTGCTGAATGTTACTCGTACGAAGTTTGAGAATCTATGGCTAGCAATATTGATTCGAAATGTATTGAGGCTTTCGCCACTCGGGATTCTGTTTTTGGTACCCAGAGGTGATCCCAGCTCTTCCATCATTCCTACTGAAATGTTGAGTAGCAAAGATGAGAAAGAAACTGACACTGAAGAATCGAAGAACATCGAGTTGGTCTCTCTTGTTAACAGCGTTGATGGTAGATAATGGTTTACTATAATCATTCGCATCAATCAAAGTCGCTGAATACTCTTTTACAGACCCTATGCAAGTGGGGCGTATACATCTTAGGGATAGGGAGCCGAGTAACATCTTTTTACGGTCCATTCATATAATTTCTTGAAACTAGGATATTTTTTTCAGTCATAAGATTTTACACTATCACTAAGGTTTAAATTGCATTCGAGAGAATAAGGCCAGCAATTAACTTGATTTTGTTAAAAAAGCAAACCACCAAAATCATCAGTCATACATTTTACTACAAGTTGGTTCAAACAAGAACCAGATGGAGTTCTAGCATTTCTACAACTGTTTGAAACCAATTTCCTAGGCGGATGCTGCTTAAGCATCCAAGACAAATCGACATATCTCCTCATCTCAAACCATCTAAAGCTTTGCATAATAATAAGGCAGACCATCCCTTTCTCATTTCACTCGCTTTCTGCGATCCCTATCTCTTTCATGGTCATCCTTCCTCTGCTTCCACTCTCTTCCCAACGGTCCCTCTCCCTCTCTCTACCCCTTTCGTTTTGTACATTATGATAACTTTCTATGTGCCTTTCACATTCCTTTTTTGAATTGTTTACTCTATCATCCTGCCTCTCTCTCGATTAGAGCTTCTCATTTCTTCATCATCACTGTAATTATCTCCCTAGCCCATTTTGAGGCTGGCAAAACAGGATCGATTCTCTCTTTCTTATTGAACGCTTTTAGTTCAGGTTGTGGAATTGGAAGGGTTTCAACCATATGTACAGACCCTTTGCGTTGTGGAGGAATCTCATCCTCTGGCATAGCGAATCTGTCCAGATAATCCCACTGCTTCAGCTTCAACATTTGCATCTCCCTGACCACTAGAATAGCGACTATAACTCAATCGCTGCTTTAATTCATCATCTAGTTCATATCCCCTCTGCTTTTCGGCATCTTCCAGACTTAATAGTCTTGCAACCATTATTTCCCTACCACCAAGAGATAATCTGTTATGTCTACAGCGTCTTTCCAACTCAGCGAGTGGGAGATCCATTAACTCCATAGCAGCACCTTTGCCCGTGGCCAATGCAGTATCTTGATTAGCTTTAATGCCATCAGTTGCATCTTCTGTGCTAGTCTTCTTTTCAATTTCTGGTGCATCACCGCAAATAGAATGGAATGGGGCCACACCAGAGTTTCCTGATCGAAGAAAAGTGGCTTGCAGTCCATTCACATATGCATCTGAAAAAATAAACCAATCTGACCATGCTTGCAACACTTTCAGAACCCGTTCCTGCAGGAATGAGAAAAGGTCACCTTATAACTTGAGAACAAAGATAATATAAACATGCATACAGCCACAAGCCGGTTCATTTTTAGCAGCACCCAGAAAAACCAACAAAATAGTAAGCAAATTGAAAACTGGATAAAAGGTTAAAATTATACCTTCCTTTAGGGCTTCTGCAGTGATCCTTCCTGTTACACTGCGGTACAAATCATTAAAGCTCTCCATTATATCAGATAACTTTGCTTCAAATTTGGTACGGTAAGCAGATGCATTTTTAACAGGAGCACTGCTATTATGAAGAATGTCAAGGACAAGCATAAGCCTCGCAACTTTTGTTTAAATAGATGTTTCTTCAAGTGTCAGACTCTGTCAAAACTTCAGCTACCTGCAGGGCAAGAGAGGGGGGCACGGTGCATCAAATTAATGTTTCTCATACTATTGTTTAAGGTTTAGACTACAGAAGGATAAAGAGGATTGTGCAGATAATCACATGCTACTACTAGACTTTTGATGTTTTACCCATCCCTTTAAAAATCATTTTGTTTAACAATTCTAGACCGGTAACGTTCAAGACAACAACAAACCAGCAACGAACCATTACAGTTTGCTAGTAGAAGACAACTAAAGCATGAAATTCGATAAGGTGTGCTGCAGACAGGCAACACCTCTCCAGCAGCATCAGCATTATCCAAAGCGAAGCCCGTGGCTTCCTTTATCCGACTCCTCTCCAGTGTCAATGCCCGTAACATGTCCTTAAATTCGTTCCTTTGTGGATAAGTAAGTGTTATTTCTGGGTCCACCCGCTGTAAAATTACTCAAATCACACACACACACACGAAAGAAGAAAATCCGGAACAAAATATGTTTTAACTTTTGGTACCCTGCTTTTTCCTGCAGCACAATTTTTTTTTGATAAATAGGAATGTCTCATTAAAAAATCCCTTCATATCCGTCAAGCAACAAGAGTGCCTCAACTGACATTGGAAAGAGGAAAAAAATGCCAAAAAAAAATTTATTGCATAAATACCAAGTACAAGAAGAGTACAATACCACCAAACCCGTTGACAACCATCTCCACAATGAGCTACATTACACTACCTAAACACAGTAGTGACCATACCCTACTCAAAAACTTTCTCCTAAAAAACACAATTACCAAAAATGCCAACAAACCACAATACAATAAACTCAATGCAACAAATAAATCCCATCCAATTAGTTAGCCTATCCCTAGTTTAGCAAATTCATCCGCTTCCCAGTTAACTGCTCTCAACACATGCCGAACAATGATACCTTTGTCAACCACAATCGAGGCTATATCTTTAACTATGGACATGAACAACGGGGTGGTGGCAGCAGGATTCTTTATCCAATTCACTGACACAACACTATCAGATTCCAAAATAAGCCTTCGATTCACCGACATCCCCTACTCCAAAAAACGCATCAACCCTTTCTTCATTGCCAACAATTTTGCCATAATAGGAGGGCCAGAACCAACTATTTCTGAGAAAGATCCCAAAACCACACCTTTCTCGTCTCTGAGCAACCCACCGATGCCACCCTTCAACCACAATCTGTCCATAGCACCATCCACGTTCACTTTAACAAAACTGATAGGAGGCAGAGACCAGCTCACTAACTTTGAAGGGATCCTTTCAGAACTCGAAACACGATCAGCTAATACAAGATCCCCCACTAGGCTATCGCAAGAAACCAGCATAAATTGCAGAGGAGTCCTTTTCATGCTCTGGATTTTTAGCCGCTGGCAAAGGTGGTGGTATCCATCTAGAAAAATATAAAAGCTATGCATCATAAATATTGCTGAAACACACTTGAAAAGAATTTCATGAACGGTAAAACTGTTCAGCGCATGATTACCTTCCACTAACAGTTATCATGATAAAAGGCTTTGTCCGCCAGCTTTGAAGAGTATCACCCCACATTTCCACAAACATCGAAATTCTTCAACTACCTTCCTTATTCACATATAAACCAAAGAATAGCACATCATGATTATGACACCAGAGACAACATTCAGAAGATGCACTGAGACAATGAACCTGAGCGAAAGAATACAGTCTCCAAACGTAGTAAGCATGTTCGTTTGAGCCGAGCTCAAACAAAAAGTTGAATAGAGAATTGCCACAAACCCTCTCCATAATAGCTTGTTCGAAGTCGCATCCTCCAATCAAGAACATAAAGAGCCATTGTATCTATCACACGGCGGAGATGATCATCCTCAGGTGTAGTGACCATTATATCTGGAACATTTAGAGTAAGAACCTAGCATCCAAAAAAAAAAGTCCAGAAAAGAAGAATCAGAATTACCTGAGACACAAAGACAAATCAAGATAGTGAATACTTATTATTTTTCAGAGAAATAAAACAAAGATAATTCATTTAGGTTACCAGTTCAGAATTCTGTTTTGGAACAGATGTGACTGGTGGGCCTGAAGGACCAGATAAGATAATAGAACTACCTTGCCAGCCAGAAAATATGCTTCAGAATTAGGCATGCACAAACAAGAGGAAGTGGCTTTAGTCAACTGCCTACTCAACCCGAAGTTATAATATCAAAACCTCACTTTAGGAGGAACTTTGGTCTTAATGCATCTCCTATTCAAAAATCAAAACAATAAATGCAATTTATTCAAGTGAGCTTCAAATTCTCTGTGCAAAAGAACAAAACCAACCCCCGTACTCCTGATGGCCATTTGTCCAGGTGAGGGAGCAGGCAATGCTTGTGATGGAAGAGCAACAGATTTACCCCACCCAATTTTCAATTCATTTCATATACAATAACTCCTGTCAAACAAAACATATCTTCAATCAACGACCAATAAATCATAAAATGATCAAAACATAGGGCATTTTAGCATTGACTAAACCTTGGAAATTAGAAAACACTATTTACATCAAAAGAAAACCCCTTTGAAATTAGATATCACTATTTACAAATGCTTCACATTAACATTTTACTACTATTTTACTAGAACAAAAAAGACAGCTCAAGATATCTACTTAAAAGCTCTGGGAAAATACCTTGCATTTCATATTTTGCAGCTTGTCCATCAGCTCTATTCATGAAAGCCACAAAACCACAATTTCTTTGCCGTCTTCCCTCCTCCTCTGTCCTAATTCACATAATCTTCACACTAGCAATAGGCCCAAATCTTCAAAAAGTACGCAGAAGAAAATTTTCATCAGCCTATATTATGAATATTTTGGTTACAAACAAATTAATCATGTAGCCATTGAGGAGCAAATCAGATGAAGGAAATTAACTTGAAAACAACAAACATACCTTTGGTTAGAGATTTACAACATAGAGATTTGTTGTTTGAGGATCAGAATCATCAAGTGATCCAGGCAGTTTTCCACTAGGATCAAAATCATCCAGCAGTTCATCAAAGCAACTAGATGGCTGAGATAGGAACAACAAAGGGATAGCATTCATGTATTGTTATGGCAAAGAAGTAAAAACAGGTAAAATGTCATGCAAGATGGAGATGCTAAATGAAAAAGAAATGAGTACTCAGATAAAAGATAAACCCTAATACATCTAAGTGAGGGAAACAAAGGGAAAATAGGGCAAGATGCATGAAATATTGATGAAATTACCATGAGTCAATACAAAGTTGAATCCAACTTACAGCTGAACTATCAGTATGACGCCCATCACGCCAATGTTCAAGTTCCAGATTTCTCCTCTCCCTCATCTCTTGTTCATGCTTCAGCTCCTCCATAAAATGATCAATATTTCGAGACTTTCCCTTCTCTTTCTCTTTCATCCTCTCTTTCTCCTACAATAGGCATGAGAAAAGTTTAGACCAAATCTGAATATCACAAAGTGGACAACTTAGTTGACAATAATATAAATGAAAATGATATTCCATTATTTCGTTAATAAAAGTCACCTTATTCTCAAGTTTCTTTCCCTTGGCTGCCAAAGGAGGTGGTATGAAAGATGGAACATACCTGTGGAAATAACATGAAAGATAAAATTCCATTTTTCAGAGAAATTCGTTTTCAAAGTTCCACGCAGTCTTTATCAAAGCTTTTTACTTTTGCTCATCAATGAACTTTAAAGAAGAATTTATTGTGGAACCATTTTTGTTTTGCTTGACATTGAAGCATACTGAACTAATTCTTATATTTCATCAGTAGACTTATATTTAAAGAAGAATGTTCAGATTAGGACTTATAAATTACCTATAAAAATATTATAAACGAGTAACTCGTTCGAAACTAGAAAAGGCCCCCGCTAGCTGAATCATTTCAAATGAAATGGTATCTGAGTTGGAACACACCGCTATATGTTTTTTTTTCACGATATTACAGAGGAAGCCCTTAAAAATGCATCTTTATAATGAAAAGGCCACTATCATCACAATATAGCCTTTCTGTCTATTATGCCTCACCATCTTTGGACTTTTCACCTGCCATCCTCGAATGAATAAAAAAGGCCCATACTTTTATTAACGTGTCCTCATGATGCAATACAAAAATTATTCTACTAATCCATAGCGTAAAACAAAAACATTGTCGCTTAAAAAACAGAGGCAGAGGCAGAGGCAAATATATTAAAATTGTTGCTCAAAACTCAAAAGTCAAGTCTCTGAATCAAACTAACCTTCAGAATCGGATGTCAACTTCTCATTGGGATTGATTGCTTCGCCTCGAACAAATGCCTTTGACCCAGGGGCATTATCTCCTTGAAACGATGCCACAAACTCCTCATATAACCGAGCTGATTCGTCCTCTGCCCACTGATAACAAAACAAAAAGAAAAACAAAAACTAAAGTTGATGATTCAGCTCAAATGAGTAATAAAACTATATCCAGAAGCTGCAACCCCTATCATGAATCCAAATAATAAAATGTTTTGAGCTTTGTAGCAAAGCAAGCCCATTATACCTTCTTCTTGGCTTCTCTTCTTCTCTGTGCTTCTGGAAAGGCGTTTTCTTACGCGTGATTGAAAATGAGCTCATCTTCAAATGATTATATCAGGCATTCAAAACGATAATCATCAAACGTCATAAGTACGTAACTTAAAAACCTCAAATTGATCCGATCCTTAACGTATAGTAACCTCTAACAAAATTATACATCCCAGCGCGGAGTATAGGGAAGAAGGCGTAAACAGACCTGATAATATTTTAAGTAACGTTTTATCCAAAATGTTAAAAAAATATTAACATTTCCGATAACGTTTTTCTTTAACTTTATATTAAATTTCCTTTCTTTAAACATCCCTTCTTTATCTAACTGTTGAAGGGGAAAAATAAACTTTATAATATTATCCCCCGAGTAAATAAAAAAAATTAACGAGCTTTGGATGATCTCAGGGAAAGTAAGTTGCAGAAGTGCTCAAACATCTTATTTTTCCCCCCTACGGAAATCTAAAACAATCCCAATTTCCCCCTCCTTCCCTTGGTTAGAATTGTGTTCTATTTTTATTCAGGGACCAAATGAAAACAAATTAATAATAACAAAGCCTACCTTATTTTTGTAAAAGAGGGAGGAGGTTCTTCCCTTAGTAATCTTCAATTATGTTGATTAAAATTAAAGTGATATACTATACGTTTAATTAATTATTATATTATCTTTACTGAATTAAAAGTTTACATTTGATTACATCATATATTTTTAAATTATGATTTAAAATTATCTCAAACTACGAAATGATCAATCAATCACTGTTTTCATGAACATTGTTTAAAATGATCTCAAACTACAAAATTTTAAATTGTAAAAATATTGTTTAAAAAAGCTTACAATATAACAGTCATTTCATAAATATTTTTTTAATAAATTATTATTGAGACTATATTTTAGTCGTGAAAATATAAACAATGAATCACCTCTCTAACTAAACATTGAAAAGCAAAACTGAATAGGTAAAACAATTAGAATTAGAATTGACACAAGAAATTGCAGTTTCACAAACCCTCACAAATCTTGCTTAGGTTACAACATTTGAATCCCTGGAGAAAGCTGCAACGGCGAGAATCCAGGTCAATAAGAGCACAATTAGCATATCCTCTTTCGTCGAAACGTGGTTTAGTTTGCCAACCTTTTAAGGCGTTGAAACACTCTGTGTTTCATCCATTGCCGGTCATAAGGCAAATAAGCTTGAATCGTGTGATCGTAGCTGCAAGCAAGAAGTAAACAATGCAACCAAGTGATTCACCAGGGGAACAATAACATGGTTGCATGTAATAATCAGACTCGACTGAACCACCGCAATCTTCTAATCTACTCATTCTTGGTATCTAAAGGATACACAGACTGTCCATCAGCCACATTCATTTCCTTGAGCCTTGGATAGTCCAAGGGCATATCTATTGTTATAAGAGGGTGAAAACTGAAAAATTCATTCGAAAACAGGTTTGAGTTTCAGCAGAGAGAAAAATTTCCTACGGTCACTCCGGACAAAAAATACACACTTATTTCTAAGGGTTCAGGTTTTATGTGACAGATTAAAGCCTTAAAACAGACGGTTTTTACGACACTTGATGCACACATGACCGAGTAAACACTCAATATTACATACAATAGACACTAATGTTCCGAGAAAACCAGAGGATGAAGAGACAGAGAAAGCATACACAAGGGCACTCAAATCTGTAAGGCCATCGATGAAATTGTAAAGATCAGCAATGTCATATGTGATATTTCGTGTTGCTGGATTTAGCTCCTTAAGTTTCCTTTCATATAGTCCGCATATACCTTCATGTGGAAAACATTATAAACGGAAAAGCTCGTCGAGTGATTTAAACAGAGCGGTTCCTCGGAAGAATCATGTTGGTAATCACTGGTTCATTCAAACAAATCATCATCTTGATACAACATGGAAACATAAATATTTCGGACATACACTAGAGAAACAAAAACATATGCTAAGCTGTTTCCAAGACAGTAGGAACTTAAAACCCAGGATCCCCAAAGGCAGTTCAGTCAGTAGAATTAACAGCTATCATTAACACCCGCCATCGGAAACCAACATTTAAGATAACAAACAACAAAAAGAACAGACACTATAAGCAAAACTAAACAAAAATATACCATCCATAGCTTGAGTTATGGAGCCATAATCCATAAATGTTCTCGTTGATCTGTTCTGTGAAGTCTGCATCAAAACAATGGTGTGCTTGTTTGCCTAAATTCACAAACAAAAATAACACATACGCGATTAAAGAAAGGGCACCGAACATTATATGCAGGAACTGACGTAACTAACACGCGAGAAAGAATCAATAAATCAACATAATTAACTTCCAAGGAAATCTTAAATCTTGTAATGATAAAAATGAAAATCGCTGCGAATTTGCTCGGTTTCGATAACTGTTTGTCCTACTTCTGTATTAAAAGCTAAAACTTTGACGAAACCCTAGTTTAAAGATGCTACAAAATCAAGATGAGCAGAAAGGATAATTACCATGCAATTGTGTTGGAGTGGAACTGAAGGAGAATCTGTTGCCAACGCTAAATTGCTGAAATCAAATGTGGTTTCCAATTGAACTATGGGAACTCCCCAAAACTGAGTCTTTCCCCTTTTTTTCTTCAAGGAAAACCAGAAAAGAGAGGAAGAAAATGATTAAGGTGGGAGATCAGATCACAAGTCACAACTGATGTCTGCCACTTTATCAAAATGGTTGACGAAGAAGACTTTGGAAAGTTTTCCCTCGCAGAAGATTCTTTTTCTCAAAACTGTATTTAATGTTATGCCTTTTTGTTATTGTTGATGGGTGAACCGGGTTTAGGAAAGGTCCTGGCGTATTTATGGCCGGTCGGGTCATATTTAAGTCAAGCTTGACATATTTTATATTTTCTCAATCCGCACAGCCATCAGTAGTTATCTTTTTTATTTTAAGCAACAACCTTACTAACTGATACTTTAGATGACTATAAAACTACCTAAATGAAGTCCAGCAGAGAAAAAAAATGAAAAGTGGAAAGAGGATAAGTTAAACCAAAATGCCCCCCAAAGCCTACTGAATTCAAAAGATTTTACCTTTGTTCAAAGTCTCACACTTTCTTTCTTCCTTGGTGTTCCCTTTCCCTTTCTCTTTGTCTTATCTTGAATGTTTCTGCCTCTGCCTCCCATTTGTTCCTTGTTTTCCAGTTCTCATTCCAAAGAATTTCTCTTGGCTTTCTTTAATTTTCTTTCCCCTTGACTCCTGTCTTATTCCTCTAGAGATTTCTTTGCCGGACCAGTAAGGATACATACTATATAATAAAACCATTATTTTAAGCTGCTTTAATCGTGAGGTATCAAATTAGCGTATGAGCTTCTCTTGTCGTGGTATTTAAGAGTTTAGTTGCTTTACCTTTATTTGGCCTTTTCAAGCTTTGATATTTAGTTGTTGTTGGGATTTTATTTGTGAATTATATTATATATTTTTCAAATCTTAGCATTCAATCTAGGATATGTCTTGAATTGTTTCTACTTATTTGTCTTCTTTCAACCTACCTTTGCTGTTTTGTTTTCTTCTTGTTCTAGATTCACTTTTCAGTTAGCATAGGAGTTTCTGTGTTGCTCTGGTTAGAAGCTATCTTATCTCATTGCTGTTGATTGTACTTGATAGTGTCTAAATTATTAGATCAGTTTTCCAAGTTTAATTAACCAATAAATCTGTTGACTCAAACTTTTAGATGCAAAATTTGGCGAGTCATACTTTGTTTTGACTTTTGAGTACTCTTGAGTTTTATAAGCTGAGTTAACATGATTCATTCAACTGCAGACATAGATGGGTGTATATCTCAGCACTCCCAAAACTGAAAAACTCACAGAAGATGGTGAGAATAGTAGGGTTAGATATGGTCTAGCGTCCATGCAAGGATGGCGTGCAACAATGGAAGATGCTGTGAGTACCAAATGACACCTTTAATTTTCAAATGTCCGAAGCATTTGGACCCCATTTATTCTACTAGATTGGAACTGGATTGGGGTGATGCTGGGGGTGGTATTTTAAGTTTCCATCAATGAGTTCTCAAGAGAAGATTTAAAATTCATATTCTTGCCGATCTGTAATATGGGTGTAATGCTTATATTCTTATACATATTGTGGCTTATATCATCTTGTATTTCTTGCAAATTTCCAGTTCTTGTTATATCATGTATGCATTCTAGTTACTTTTATTTTTTGTTTTGCTAGCATGCTGCATATCCTGATCTCGATGCTTCTACTTCGTTCTTTGGTGTATATGATGGTCATGGAGGTAAGACTTGGATGGTCAGTTCCATTTACAGGTTTCTTTTGTTGTACACTATCTGAAGTTGATGATTTTGTTGCTTTCCATTCATGTACTTGCTCTTTTTCCCCCTTTTAGAACTTGAACCAACTTAACTTTTAATTGTTTAATTGTACTTGATTTTGATCCTAAAATGATTAAGCGTCTTACTATTAGACCACTGTTCAAGTTTATTCAACTTATCCAAGCTCATTACTTGTAGGCAAGGTGGTTGCCAAGTTCTGTGCCAAATATCTACATCAGCAGGTTCTCAAGAATGAAGTATTTGCAGCTGGGGACATAGGAACATCAGTTCAGAGAGCATTTTTAAGGTTTTTTAATTTGATTAATCAAGTTCTTGTTGATTTTTCACTCTTCACTATGTGTTCCTTATTATGGGAATTAACAATGCAATTCCTAGCCAGAATGATTTGGGGACTTGGTGTTTACTACATGCTATTAATAATGTATATTTATCATCTTTTTTGTACTTGAATGTGAGTAAATCCTTTTTCTTCCACCTGTTTAGGGCTGGTAATATCTTGCTCCCCCCCCCCCACCCCTTCCTTTTCGTTGTTAAAAATGCCTCTTCCCATTGTCCATTTTGTGTGTTTCCAACTTGAGTTACATTTTGCTACAGAATGGATGAGATGATGCGTGGACAAAGAGGATGGAGAGAATTAGCCATTTTGGGTGATAAATTCAACAAGTTTACTGGCATAATAGGACTGATATGGTCTCCTAGGAGTGGTAATGGTAATGACCAAGTTGATAATTGGGCTTTTGAGGAGGTACTTATGAAAATATACCCGTGTTATTGTCCTTAACTAGATCCTGAACAGAACTTTGGTGTTGGCTACAAACTATGATGGAAACCAAAACTGAGGAAGAAGAATAGAACATGATGTATATGTTAACTCTTAGCTTATGCAGTGTATCAATGCAGCCCAGATGGCGGGTTGTGAAACTTAACATCTTAGGCTGCACTTACCTTTGGTTGGGTCAGGGATCTAAGTGTGCAATCTGGGTTTGTCTTGATTGCACAAATTTAGTATTCATCCGTTGCATTCCTGCTTTAATGTTTTCTTACTGCAACAATTTGTATAAATAATTTACAAGTGATTGTTAAAATTGTAATTAGGGCCCTCACTCTGACTTTTCTGGACCAACATCTGGAAGCACAGCCTGTGTTGCGGTTCTAAGAAACAACCAACTTGTTGTTGCCAATGCTGGTGATTCTCGTTGTGTAATATCTAGAAACTGTCTGGTAATGTTCTATTAATCAAATGTGTATGAACTGGCTATTGTACTTTGAACAATGGGGAATATTCTTTCTTTCTGAATAAATAACCCCTTCTTTTTGTTGCTTCTTTCTTTTGTAGGCATACAATCTCTCTAGAGACCACAAACCTGATCTTGAGGTAGAGAAAGAAAGGATTTTAAGAGCTGGTGGTTTTATACATGCAGGACGTATCAATGGCTGTTTGAATCTTGCAAGAGCAATAGGTAATTTACCTCCCTTCTTGATGTCTGGAAACAAAAGAGTTCTAATTCCACTCACCATTAGAGTCGTTTGAATTTCCTAAAGATAGAGACATATACGACTTGGCAGAAAGCGTTGTTCTTTTCTTAAACCAATTGTAACATTTTTATACATCCGTAGTCTCCAATCAAGTGTATGCATCCTTGCGTATCTAGTATTTTATTCATCAATGGGAGAAAGATATCAAGACACAGAAAGAGATGCAGTTTTAATCCATTGATTCCTTTTCCTGTAGGTAACGTTGAGTTCAAGCAGAATAAGTTTTTACCTGCTGAAAAGCAAATTGTAACTGCAAATCCTGATGTAAACACCGTAAGTATACGCTCTCTCAGCAAGGTGGCCACACCAATAGTTCCATCTTGGCTTTGATGTATGATACTCGATCCTAAAAATCTTTGGAGCATGTTGTATCTAACTTTCTACATCGTACAATTTTCAATTAGGTTGAGCTATGTGATGATGATGACTTCCTTGTGCTGGCATGTGATGGAATTTGGTATTATATCTAATGCCTTTTCCTGTCAAATAACATCAGAATTATCTCATTTTCAGAATTTTATTTTGTTGATAAGTTATATATACTCTTGTTGGTTGACTACAAATCAATATCGATCTTGAATATAGTATCTAATGCCATCTCAAATTCGATTTTATATTTCAGGGATTGCATGTCAAGTCAGAAGCTTGTAGATTTTATCCACAAACAACTACGTTCCGTATGTACTTAATCCTTTCTAACTTCCATCAGTCTGTATGTTTGAATGCTTGTTTAGGGAAGCTTGCTATATAATGCAGGAAAGACGGCTTTCTACTGTTTGTGAGAGGGTACTCGACAAGTGTTTAGCACCATCAACAGCCACTGGTGAGGGCTGCGACAATATGACCATGATCCTGGTGCAGTTCAAGAAACCAATCACGTCTGCCTCATCTTCAGGAGCAATCTTCCCATTCCAAACCAGTTGACACTGAATCGAAGCTAGAAGCTAGAAGCTAGAAGCTAGAAGCTAGAAGCTAGAAGCTAGAAGCTAGAAGCTAGAAGCTAGAAGCTAGAAGCTAGAAGCTAGAAGCTAGAAGCTAGAAGCAAGTCAGGAACAGTAGCAGTGACCATTGTTGGGATCAAAGAACCTGTTTGTTTTCTAGAGTTATTTTCTGATATGCATACGTAGATGGCTTAGAGCAGGAATTGAGTTGATTAAGAAAGAATGTATTTCGAAAATAACACAAAATGACAATTTCAGTAATAAGCTGCAAGAGTTATGTTATCCAAATAATTTTTGATTGGGCCCGAGATAATTAGGAAGAAATTCACTTAAAATAAAGATTAAAATGAGAATATATGGACGGGTTAAGATCAAAATCAAGCCTGATTTTATTTCAGGTTTTAGCAATTAGTTTAGACACTATAATTCTAATATTTTTATTCAAATTATTTTAGATTTTCTAATATATATATATAGAATCAATTCTTATAATCAAATGGAACTGGATAGAAGCAGTTGCTGTTTCCATGGAATTGAAGATGATAAATTTAAGTAATGAATGAAGTAATCTTCGACTACATACAAAAAAAAAACGAAACAAGTCCTTTCCCATCTTAGAACACCACCAAAACCAAACCCCACAATGTCACCAAGAATCCAGCCTTCAAACCTGAACCATTGCTGGTAGGAGCAACGGCAGGTCCCTCAATCTCTGCTGGAGAAGGCGCTGGAGAGATTCCAGTGTAGCTGTGCCGTGGAGACAACACGACCACAACCAACTTCTGGCCCTGCTCACAGTGACCCTTAGCTCCACTAATGAAGTAAAATGGGCCTGATTTGTGAAGCTTAAATTTGGTGTTTCCATCCTTGTACTCTGCAATGGGGTCTGAGGTAATGCAGCTTGCATAGGCTTCCTTGCTGACTTGTAGCACCGAGTCTTTGCCACCATCGTATTTCCACACTATAATATAAAGACTTAGAAAAGCAAAAAGGAAGAGTGTCACAAAGTGGAGTTTGTGTAGTAAGTATATTACCGAGAGAGTCGCCGATGCGGAAACGGGAATTGCCAGCCCATTTGTTGAGGGAGTCGGATTCAGAGGATGGGATCTTCCAAGCGTTTTCCTTGCCACCAACCAATATTTCTGTGGCTTCTGAAATGCTTAAAAATAGAAACAAAAGCACCAAGGAGAAAACAGCAGCCATTGGAAACTCTAAATTCAACAGAATTTCACTAAAGCTATTGCAGTCGTACAAGAGACTTGAGCCGGTACTTGGGTAATCACATTGGGTTTTACTCTATTTATATGCGAGTCGGTGGAAACTAGCCGTTACAAGGATGGTGTTACTGTTGGCCACGTGGCCTCCTGTGCCTAAATCTCCGTCTCATAGCCATTGTAAAGTTATTTGGCATAAAAAGGTGGGGGGAATGGATTTTAACGGTCAAATATAGAAAAGTCCCTTGGGTTTTTAAATTTTAGCTAGGGTTAATTACGGTTGAAACTAGGATTTTGCTTCTAAGTTGGTCCCAAGCCTCAGAATGTTTTAATTGATATGATCAGCTTTTGGACAGTAAATGACAATTCAAATTTGAATATGCTCATCAATTTTTAAACACGTAATTTAGATATACTCTCATCTTTTATTGAATCAAATTTAAAATGTCATACTTAAATTATCTATGTGATTAGTGTCGTAACCGTCTTTCGGTTGGGCCCCGGAATTGGGCTTCGACTTAGGAAAATGGATTGGAGTCGCCACCGATCATTTATTTAAAAATAAATGGGTTGATCGGATACCCTATTTCTTACCTGATCTGCGTCTTACCAGAAATATGTCGGGCTCGGGAGTCGGTTACGGTCAAGGAAGGATTAGCACCCTTGAACCGCCCTTTCGGTACTACGTAATTTCCAGTGTTCTTAATTAAGAAAAATAACAAGTTAAATTAAAAGGTAAAGTTTCGACCCCAATTACTTACCCTTTATTGATTTAAAAATATCCTTAAAAAATCGAGAAATGTGTTAGATAAACAAGGTAAATAAAACAAATAAAGTAAAAGGGAAAAATAAAATAAATAAAATAAATAAATAAGATAAAGGAAAAAATAGTAAAGTAATAATTATATATAGTAATATTTGAAAAAGGAAATATATATATATATATATATACATCAAAGTATTAAAAAATAGAAAAGTTACCCTCTCACTTCACCGAAAGTGAGGGGCTTTAGTCAGAAATAAGACAAAAAAAAAATGGGTCCTCTAGGTTAGTAATATATAATATAATGTTTAATAATAATAATGATAAAGACACAAGATTTTTTAAAAAAAAATAATATAATAATAATAAAAAAAATGAAAATATATATATATAAAGTTATAAGATATATTACGTAAATAAAAAATAATCAAATAAAAATAATTAAGAATATATATATATTAATAATAGGTATATAAATCAACCATTAAAAGTATAAAAAAATATATGACTAGATAAAGATAATTACAATATATATAGTAATAATAGACTCATAAGTAGAATATTAAAGAAATATATATATATATATATATATATATATATATACATATAATAATAATAACATAAATAATAAAAATAAATGAATAAAATATCCATATAATAAATAAAGGGACTAATATAGATTTTTAAAAAGCTCTTCCCCTCCTTTAACCGAAAATCAAACCGGTTTTTCAAAATAAGCCTCGGGGTAGATCTAGGTTCGAAACTTCGAAACCCTACCCATTTTGGTCATCGGCGCAACCCACGTTTTGGGTTATTCGAACCAAATCTCAAGAAAAATAACGTGCACATGCAAAAGAAAGAAAAAAGAAAATGCTACCTTTTATTTCCTTTTCGAATCCTTTACAATAGCTTTGCCTTTGTATCTTCCCGTGCTTTCCTCTATGTTTTGTATGTAAATCGTGTCTTACAATGGTGAGTTACAATGGCTATTTATAGTGCTTGTGGATCCTATCTTTAGGAATTTAAATCATAAAATTCTATCCTATTTTTTGAATCCTAGCAAAATTCTATCATATCTTTAGGAGTTTGAATCCTAAAATTCTATCCTATTTTTAGGAGTTTGAATCCTAGTAGGACGAAAAATGTGTGTTGACAGCTGCCCCTCTTTGCCCATAGTCGTGTAACGGGGATAGGGCAAAGATTAAAAGACACACTTTTCGTTCAGTAGAGTTGAAAATTAACTCTGATGTTTCAATAACTCCCTGTCGAATTGAGTTACGGATGACTCCTCCATCGTGAAGTCGAGTTCATCTTGAAATGATATGAAATTAAAGCCGTAGTTCGGAATTTGAATCGGCACGTGGCTTCCCGTTACCCTTCGGTCTTCTTCTCGGTTTAAAGACCTTGGATCGGAATAGAACTGAGAAATATTCATTGACAGATAGCTTTTTCTTGACTTAAGCTATGTTGTTTGAAAATGTTTGCTTGTCACTAAGGCACGGCTAACCCAGGTCCTCTCCTCGACTTGAAAACCTCGACTGCAACCGGAAAGTAGTGCGATTGATGTGTCATCGAGCTGAATGGAGTCGAACTCGACAATTTTGATGGCAAATAATCCTTCTTTGAGTTGGATATCCTTCGTCGTGAAGTTGAAATCCAAGTAAGTAGCATTGTCCAAGTCCAATATCCTCCGTCGTGAAGTTGAAATTGGCTCTGGAACCGGAAAATTGTTTGTTGACAACCAGCCGTCCCTTCGTTGTGAAGTTGAACTTGTGTTGTCTCGAGTCCAATATCCTTCGTTGTGAAGTTGAAATTGAATCTTAATGAAATTTTGTTGACAAGCAGCGGTCCCTTCGTCGTGAAGTTGAACTTGCGTTGTCTGGAGTCCAATATCCTTTGTTGTGAAGTTGAAATTGGCTCTTAGATTGGGAAGTTGTTGTTGACAAGCAGCGGTCCCTTCGTCGTGAAGTTGAACTTGCATTGTCTGGAGTCTAATATCATTCGTTGTGAAGTTGAAATTGGCTCTGAGATTGGGAAGTTGTTGTTGACAAGCAGCGGTCCCTTCGTCGTGAAGTTGAACTTGCGTTGTCTGAAGTCCAATATCCTTCGTTGTGAAGTTGAAATTGGCTCTGAAATTGAGAAGTTGTTGTTGACAAGCAGCGGTCCCTTCGTCGTGAAGTTGAACTTGCGTTGTCTGGAGTCCAATATCCTTCGTTGTGAAGTTGAAATTGGCTCTGAAATTGAGAAGTTGTTGTTGACAAGCAGCGGTCCCTTCGTCATGAAGTTGAACTTGCGTTGTCTGAAGTCCAATATCCTTCATTGTGAAGTTGAAATTACGGATGGCCCCTTCGTTGTGAAGTTGAGCCTTGACTTGAATATCCTTCGTCGTGAAGTTGAAATCCAAGTATTGTATGTTGCGGGTGGACACAATTCCCTTCGCCGTGAAGTTGAAACCGTGGAGACCCCTTTATTATGAAGTTTGGCTTCGAGCTAGATATCCTTCGTCGTGAAGTTGAAATCCACTCTCGAGCAAATTGTGTCGCTTTGAGTTCAATATCCTTCGCCGCGAAGTTGAAATTGACTCTAGCTAAAACCTGAAAAAGTTATGCATATATGTGATGCTATGGATGCAATGCTCTTAGGTGTGCCTAAAATGCATATGCAACATATGTTATCTTGGGGCTCTTGAGAGACATCTCGATCACCAGTTGCCTGTCTGGAATCTTGATTCTTGAATCTTCAAATTTTGATCCCTGATCTTGAATTCTTCAAATGTTCAAATCTGATGTGCACATTCTATTTTTGATTTGAGAAATGCTTCTCGACCATCTCAAGTATGTGCCTGAGCTGAGTGTAACGGTTCAGATGATGCTTCAAAAGAAGTTGTCTTGAAAGAGATATAATTCGTTTCAAGGGAAACGATCTCAAAGATATCTGTTGTTTCATGAGAAACGGTCTCAAGGGAAACAAAATTATGTTTTAAGGGAAATAAATTTGAAGATTTTGTGTTTCAAGAGTAATTGTCTCAAGGGAGACAAAATTTGTTTTAGGGGAAATAAATTCAAAGATTTTGTTTCAAGGGAAACTATCTCAACATAAACGAAAATTGTTTCAAGAGAAACTGTCTCAAGAGAGACAAAACTTAGTTCCAAAAGAAACTGTCTCAAGGGAGACGGAATTTGTTTCAAAGAAAACATATTCAAATATTTTGTTTTAAGGGAAACTGTCTCAAGAGAGACAAAATTTATTTCAAGGGAAACTGTCTCAAGATAGACGAAATTTGTTTCAAGAGAAGCTGTCTCAAGAGAGACAAAATTTGTTTCAAGGGAAACTGTCTCAAGAGAGACAAAACTCTTCTAGTGAAAACGGTCAAGCGAGACAAATCTTGTTTTAAGAAAAACAATCATGAGTGAAATAAATCTTCTTTCGAGTAAAACAGTCCCAAGTGAGACAAAGTCTGTTTTAAAAAAACAATCTCAAGTGAGATAAGCATCTGCATTAAATGAGACTGTCTCAAGCGAGACAGAATTTATATTGGAAATGTCGAATCTGAAAATGAATGTCGATCTTTCTATCTGTCGAGTTGGTTAAAGTGTAGCTTCTTGCTGCTGAGCTAAGCAACCGACATCAATCTGTAAAGGTGCTTTTGAATCGAGTATCCTTCGTCTTGAAGTCGAACTTGACTCTAAAGCTGTAAAAATTATGTACGTGGAAAGAAAATGATAGATATGACGCTCTAAAATGTATGCATAAGATGCATGTAACATGAATTGGTTATATTTTATCTCCTGAAAAAGGTCTGATAATTCATATTAGGATGTTGAATCCCCAAAGATGCCTCAATATCCAAAAATGCCCCAATATTTGATGTTGAATCTTCAAAGATACCCCAAATGTTCCTCATTTCTTGCTTCATCATTGATTCTAAGCATGAGCTTTGTGTTTGAGAGTCACATGCCATTTACCAAGATCCACTCTAGAGAGACTGTCTTGTTTGAAAAAAAATGTTTTACTTTCTCTTTTATTTTCAAAGTCATGAAAATATCAATTAAAAGAGTTTCAAAAAATGTTTAATCTCAAGTTTTAAAAATATTGCCCCTATCACGGTTTTACAATTGAGACGAATCATAAAACTAGAGTTCATCGGATATCAAAGAATTAATTACAATGTTAATCCTTCAATAAATTATAGCTATTTGACAACTGCCAAGATCCAAGCTATCTTTGGGAGATAATCAAGTAAGGAAAGGATAAAAAGTCTCAGGTTATTGTGTTTGGTCAA